CTTTTTTTTCTTGAATGATAGCAACAGAGTTAAAATATCTATAATATTTAACTTGTAGTGATGGATTTGACATATAAGACTGTACAACAATCCGCAAATCCCTTAAATATTATTATTATCTCGTCAAGATCTTACAGACATCGGGACAAAATTGGTTGGGCGCGTTTCCTATCACCAAATGTTCTGTTCACCTAATAGTAATTAAATAAGTACCCAGAAGTTAGTTAGCTTGTTATAAGGAGTACATCCAGGGGAAGGGTCAGTAATTCAACCCTGGTGTTACCTTGATACAAGCTTATAACATGTATATATATGCTGGCTACCTGTCCCCTGACAGTGAATTAAATTATTATTACAGTATATATGGCGAAAATTTGCATAATTTCTTCATGATTTACACACACACCCACAGGGGCCTCGCGGCTGAGTGGACAGCGCTCTGAGGTCGTAGTCCCAAGGGCCACTGGATTCGATCTCCGGCAGAGGTAGAAACAAATGGGCAGAGTTCCATTCTCCCTGATGGTCCTGTTCACCTAGCAGCAAATAGGTACCTGGGAGTTAGACAGCTGCTATGGGCTGCTTCCTGGGGATGTGTGTGCGTGTGTAAGGGAAAAAAAAAAAATATATATATATATATATATATATATATATAAAAAGTATATATATATATATATATATATATATATATATATATATATATATATATATATATATATATATATATATATATATATATATATATATATATATATATATATATATATATATATATATATATATATATATATATATATATATATACATATATATAGTTGGTAGCAGTCTTCCTTGTAAACATATGTTGTTAATATGACCGAAAGGGTAAGATTAATTATTCTAACACGAATCTTCTCAACATTTCTTACGTTTTTCTTCACTGTCGGGAGTAATTGAAAAATTAACTTTTCAAAGTTCATTTTCTCATTTTTTATTTATGGTCTGACGCATAAAAGCTTTTCGCAAAGACTTCTCATATTTTCAAAGACAGGTTTACACATATCATTTCATGCCTATATTCGTTTTGGGTGAGGTAATATGACACAAATGTTGTTGGGTGAGGTGACAAAAGCCAGAACACGAATCAATGAGTATATATATATTGCATATGAGAACATAAGAATGAAAGTAACTACAGAAGGCCTATTAGCCCATATTTTCTCTTGCTGCTTCTATGTTGGTTCAGGTTCTTGAAGTGGGTAGAATATAGTTATGTGTTCATGGCTGTTGATTGATGGTGTTGACTTTTTGATGTGTAGTGCCTCGCTGATGTCGAGTCTCCTGCTATCGCTGTATCTATCGATGATTTCTATGTTGCTTGTTAAGATTTCTCTGGTGATGGTCTGGTTGTGAGAGGAGATTATATGTTCCTTGATGGAGCCCTGTTGTTATATGCTGATATATGGTGTTGATATATGCAATTGACGATCGCGAAACTCTGGTCATTTGTATGAGGAAAATCCACAGAGAAATGGGAAAGGGAGAGAAACATTTCGGCCGATCAAAGCCGTTGTCAACATCAGATTAAGAGAAACACAGGGAGGGTACAGGCCAACAACTATAACCTGACCACCCACCCCCAGGGAAAGAATTACCCAGAAACAGGTATAGATTAGCTTAGAATAGTCAGGAGGATTAAGCGGTCAGAGAATAAGCATGAAAGATTAAAGAAAAAGCCTCACTGAACACACCCAATAATCTAACATTACTAATGCTAACACTGTTATGTACAAACTTGACCCATTTTTAAGTTACAATATTGCACAACCGTTTAAGAAAAAACTCTGATAGGGAGGGTTACAATGTCTCATTATAATCATATATTGTGTGTGTTCAGTGAGGCTTTTTCTTTAATCTTTCATACTTATTCTCTGACCGCTTAATCCTTCTGACTATTCTAAGCTAATCTATACCTGTTTTTGGGTAATTCTTTCCCTGGGGATAGGGATTTACTCATATATATATATATATATATATATATATATATATATATATATATATATATATATATATAATATATATATAGATATATAATATATATAGATAGATAGATAGATAGATAGATAGATATAGCGGAAAGGGTTACAGAGGCACATAATGGGCTCAGGGACTGAACCCCACAATTCATTTAGCTAAGCAAGTTACAATCTTGATGAGCTAGTTACAAAATTCAATATAAGTCGTCACATCAACAATGGGTTCGAGATCCACCACAAGTACAGTTTCTAAATTAACCAACTGACATATGTGGAGAGCTAGTGTCACAATTGATATGTTTGTCCTGCACACCGCCCCCCATCCAGTGGGCAGCGGTGGATAGGTTACACCGCTCCCCATCCAGTGGGCAGCGGTGGATAGGTTACACAGCCCCCCATCCAGTGGGCAGCGGTGGATAGGTTACACAGCCCCCCATCCAGTGGGCAGCGGTGGATAGGTTACACAGCCCCCCATCCAGTGGGCAGCGGTGGATAGGTTACACCGCCCCCCATCCAGTGGGCAGCGGTGGATAGGTTACACAGCTCCCCATCCAGTGGGCAGCGGTGGATAGGTTACACAGCCCCCATCCAGTGGGCAGCGGTGGATAGGTTACACCGCCCCCCATCCAGTGGGCAGCGGTGGATAGGTTACACAGCCCCCCATCCAGTGGGCAGCGGTGGATAGGTTACACCGCCCCCCATCCAGTGGACAGCGGTGGATAGGTTACACAGCCCTCCATCCAGTAGGCAGCGGTGGATAGGTTACACAGCTCCCCATCCAGTGGGCAGCGGTGGATAGGTTACACAGCTCCCCATCCAGTGGGCAGCGGTGGATAGGTTACACAGCCCCCCATCCAGTGGGCAGCGGTGGATAGGTTACACAGCCCCCCCATCCAGTGGGCAGCGGTGGATAGGTTACACAGCCTCCCATCCAGTGGGCAGCGGTGGATAGTTTACAATCACTCAATTACTACTTACAGTTAGCAAATTGGGGCAAAGTAGAATGAAACAGCTTTGATAGGGAGTCTTTCAAACCACGCAGACTTTCATTTTGCTTTGCTCTGATGAAGGCGAATTAAACCGAAAACATATCTACATTAGCAACCGTGTATGGAAAACAATCCAACCCAGCCTAGAGAACATAAAAAACATCATCACCAAAAAACTCTCACATCTCAACAAAGCCTACCTACACCAGAGAATAGCTGAAGGTTCGCCATCTGCAACATGGTATCTTCAGGCAACCAAATTAGAAAGGTTAAATATCCCAAAAGGAATCCACAGGGAAATAGCAGTTAGGCTATATAGACTACGTCTAGGTTACAGATGCAACTGGGAGATTGGTGAACCCCGAGAGAGAGAGTGCATCTTCTGCCAAACTGTCACAGAAAAGCCATTACTTCACTATCTTCTGGAATGTGAAGCAACCAATGACCTTAGAAGAGCTTTAAGAGTTCCTGAATCATGCAGGGGCCACCCTGAAGCCATCAACACAGCCACTCTCCTGGTCAACAAAGGTGTCCAGCAGCTGGACACCTTCATAAAGACTGTGAAGCAGTATCCTCCCCCGCGATAACAGCTTGATGGTTAAATGCAACCTCAGAATACTGAGAAAAAAAAAATTGTACCACTTACGGGCTATTCAGTCATATATCTACGTTAATTTTAACTCCAATAAAAAAAATTGACCTCATACATAATGAAATGGGTAGCTTTATCATTTCATAAGAAAAAAAACTGAAAAAATATATTAATTCATGAAAACTTGGCTTATTAGGCAAATCGAGCCTTGCATAGTAGGCTGAGAAGTGCGTTCTGGCTACTAGGTACGACATATATATATATATATATATATATATATATATATATATATATATATATATATATATATATATATATATATATATATATATATGTCGTACCTAGTAGCCAGAACGCACTTCTCAGCCTACTATGCAAGGCCCGATTTGCCTAATAAGCCAAGTTTTCATGAATTAATTGTTTTTCGACTACCTAACCTACCTAACCTAACCTAACCTACCTTTTTCAGCTACCTAACCTAACCTAACCTATAGAGATATGTTAGGTTAGGTTAGGTAGGGTTGGTTAGGTTCGGTCATATATCTACGTTAATTTTAACTCCAATAAAATAAATATGACCTCATACATAATGAAATGGGTAGCTTTATCATTTCATAAGAAAAAAATTAGAGAAAATATATTAATTCAGGAAAACTTGGCTTATTAGGCAAATCGGGCCTTGCATAGTAGGCCGAGAAGTGCATTCTGGCTACTAGGTACGACATATATATATATATATATATATATATATATATATATATATATATATATATATATATATATATATATATATATATATATATTATAAAGTATATTTATATAATAAATTGTTCTAATATATTATTGGAATAAATTACCTAACACACAAGGAAGTGTCTAGACTTGAAATTATACAAAACGACATATATACTTGCTATATAGCGGGTCTCAAGTATAAATTGCAAATACTAACAATCTATACAAGTGAAGAAATTATAGATTACTATATTATTTACCTGAATTTACCTGTGGGAGATGTCTATTCATGCCTGTGACTAATACTAGTCGTCTCAATGAGGACAGAAAGCCAGTGGCTTGTCAAAGATCCTGATGATATTTCCCAGCTGTATTTTAAAACAGGAGAGTTTTATATTTATTTATTTATTTATTTATTTATTTATTTATATATATACAAGAAGGTACATTGTGTTTGTGAGAATACACTGGATAGTACAGTATTTACATTCTTGTAAAGCCACTAGTACGCACAGCGTTTCGGGCAGGTCAATATATAGCAGATATAGAGAGATATAGAGAGATATAGAAGGATTAGGGGAGTGGGGAAAGGAGAATAGATCCAGTATAAACTGGCTGCAGTACGACATTTGGGGGGAGGAGAGTGAGTGACGCTGCCGGGGAAATCTCCCTGCGCGTGGGGGAAAATGTTAAGACTGGTGTTGTGTTGGTTGTGTTGTGGCCGCCGCGGTGCTCCTCCCACCCAACATTCTCTCTCAAATGACGCCACAATGAGCAAGGGCATACGGAACTTGGTGTCCAAACGAAAGCGCAGGTTCAAAGAAGATGGCTACGACCTGGATCTCAGCTGTATCCTTTAGTGCAGAGGCTAGACAAGGGGCGTTCTACTTTTGGGATTTTACTCTATGCAACATCACAGCTTCCCCCTCTGACCTATTAAATCCGCAATTGCAGGCGGCTGCTTAGATCTCTAGTGTTACTGGCAGTGTTTTTCAGTGTGGTGGTGAGCAGTGTTATGTAGTGATGGAAAAAGGTGTGGAGTAATGTGGTAAATGGTGGAAAAATGTTTTTTTTTGGCCTTGAGAGACGGCTGGCCCCGAGTAGTGGTGGAGAGTCGGAGGCTGGCACCTGTAGGCCTATTTCTAGGCCTACTGGCTCATTTCTGGTGTGCTGGCAGCTTGTACTCGACTCTGCAGGTGGTAAATTTGCCGGCAAAGGCTTGACTGCAGTGTGACAATGGTGGTTCATGGTTATTCACTTATTGTTCAAACCTCACATATCCTATTCGTTGCTAATGTGCATTTCTAAACCAAAAAACAATTCACACATTACATTGCCTATAGGCCTAACAGTTTCACATGCACACATATACTTAAATCTGTTGTACACATCGCATTTAACTATACTTGACCTACATATTACATACTGGGAATATGGTTTACAATTCTTATGTGAATTTATTTATTCACAATTTTTTATTGTGTATTAATGTTTATAAATGCTCTTAGTACCCATATATACTATTTTTTATATCTCGCACACACACCTGACCAAAGACCTAGAGCTCAACCCCCCGCAAGCACAACTAGGTGAGTACATGCACATTACACAAACTTAATATCTCTTGCATGACACACACAAATCACAAATAACGTGTTGCATCAAATGAACAAATAAATCGAACCCTGGTTTGTGTCTCTGAGAGGCTGCAGGATCCAGTACGTTCAGTAGAACTTCGGTTTCAACTTTTTTTTTGACCATGTCGTAGCTCAGTCGATTAAGGCAGCGTCTGGGATGCTCTCGGACGCAGGTTCGAATCCTCGTCACGGCCCTTGTGGATTTGTTCATCTCTTGCATGCATTACATAAACTACATATCCCATGAGTTACATTTAAATTATTAATAGCCACATTTCTCATAAATTTACAGTAAGTTCATCTGCAGTGTAAACACGCTTCCTAAAACCTAAACACCACAAAATAAGAGACGAGACATTTGTAGTTTACCTGAGAGCCACTAACACTAGTGGCCTCGTCAAAGACAGGAAGATGGCGGCTTGTCGAACGTCCCTGATGGACGATACTTGTAGGATATGTTAGGTTTGGTCTCCATTTTTCACACTTAAATGAAAGCTTATTTAAACAAATTAAAAGGTACAAAGTGTAGATTTATCATATTGACGAGTAAAGATGACACAGTGAACACTATGAATATCAAAAGCCAACATCTTTTTAAATCTTCCAACAAGTTGCGGCCAGCCTTACTTACCTTACCTTGAGGTTACCTTGTTACTCATCACATTATCACCATAACTTTGCATTATTCTCATTAATTGCTATTCCAACCACTTCATGCAGGTCGGCGTTCAATCCCCGACCGTCCAAGTGATTGGGCACCATTCCTTTCCCCGCGTCCCATCCCAAAACTTTTTCCTGGCCCCTTCCCAGTGCTATATAGTCGTAATACTTTGGCGCTTTCCCCCTGATAACTTCCTCCCTCATCAATTGCTAAAATACAGCACTCCCAGATAACATAATTCTCACCTTTACCCATATAGCTTAATCTTCGAGTCATATTCCACTGAACACATCACACCCATAGTGTTCCTTGCTGCAATACCTAAACAGATTCCTATAATATGCCACACACACACATTCCCCATAAATCATTATAATGGACCCCACCCACAGATATCTATAATATGCCTAACCCACAAATATCTATAATGCACCCTACCCACAAATATCTATAATGCATCCTGCCCACAAATATATTTAAAATACACTCTACCTACAAATATCTATAATACACCCTACCTACAAATATCTATAATACACCCTACCCACAAATATCTATAATGCATCCTACCCACAAATATCTATAATGCATCCTACCCACAAATATATTTAAAATACACTACCTACAAATATCTATAATACACCCTACTCACAAATATCTATAATACACCCTACCCACAAATATCTATAATACACCCTACCCACAAACATCTATAATACACCCTACCCACAAATATCTATAATACACCCTACCCACAAATATCTATAATACACCCTACCCACAAATATCTATAATGCATCCTACCCACAAACATCTATAATACACCCTACCCACAAACATCTATAATTTACCTTACCCACAAATATCTATAATACACTCTACCCACAAATATCTGTAATTCACCTTACCCACAAATATCTATAATACACTCTACCCACAAATATCTGTAATTCACCTTACCCACAAATATCTATAATACACTCTACCCACAAATATCTGTAATTCACCTTACCTACAAATATCTATAATTCACCCTACACAAATATCTATAATTCACCCTACACAAATATTTATAATACACCCCACAGATAGCTATAATACGCCCTACCCACAAATATCTATAATATGCCCTACCCACAAATATTTATAATTCATCCTACCCACAAATATCCATAATACATCCTACCCACGAATATCTATAATGCACCATTTCCACGAATATCTATAATGCACCATTTCCACGAATATCTATAATGCACCATTCCCACGAATGTCTAGTACTCCCGACCCACAACTAGCTGTTAATAAATTAATTATATACCACTCGCATAAATCAGTTACCTGGGTTTTAGACGTTACCAATGGCCCAGACGTACACATTACCAATGGCCCAGATGTACAGTAATGAATTAGGCCTAAGATTGTACCTGTTAGGCTTAGGATTACTCCTTTAGACCTAGGACATGTTTGATTAATGGCTAGGTTGTTCATAAAGTGTCTGGTACACCCATTATAATCCCAGAGTACAAAAACTAAATTTTCCGGTGAACTGCACCGGAATTGTGGTTGTGAATTGCTTGTGGGACAGAAATGGTTGGGTGCACTTCCTATCACCTAATGCACCTGTTCACCTGCAGTAAATAGGAGATAGTCAGCTCGTTATGGGATTGTACAGGTATTCTGGGGAAAGTCAGTAGTTCAACCTTGATATAAGCCTAACATGTGTTACGGCCCTCTCGGGACGCAACGGGGTTCTTCTGATGTAGTTAGAGGAAGATATATATCCTAGAGGCTATCAAGGGATGCGATCCGTGACGCAAGTAACTTAAAGGGAGTAGGGAAAGAAAGGTAAGAACTTAATATAATATAATTTTCACCATCACCATTTAAATATATAGAAATAAAACGTACACAAGGGGGAGGGGTATTAACACTTTACAAAGGGGACCAACACTGTAGTCTTCTGCTGGAGACTATAGATCCTCGAAGCTAGGTGCTGAGTCCGCGGTGCTTTCTTCGTGGCCTCAAGACGTGTCCTCTGAGAACGCCGAGTCTACCCTGGCCACAGGTCAGCCACAACACAGGTCCACTGGGGGCACCGTCGTGGAGGCCGTCAACCACACGTCCAGCAGGTCTGCTGGCAGGTACAGAGCCACCAAGGCTGGTACGGCCACTCCACGAACGATATAAGGGGTACGCCCTAGACAGGAGTCTCGTGTGATATCACCAATCACCCTCCTGTCCTCAATACCCCAGTGGATTATCGTCTCCAACCGTCGGTCCCGGGTAAATCCTTTAACTGCCACTCCAATGGCAGGCTAACACACCACAGTGTTCTTCCGGGGGGACGACGTCACAAAAGCTGCAGCAAACTTCACTGTATGGAGACTGGCTGCCTCGGGTAGACTGACTCCACCTTCAACACAGTGGTCCCAGGTCGGCTCTGTAAACAGACACGTCATCAATAACTGGGACACTAATACACCACACTCACAGGCTCAGATACAAACGCCCGACATATCCACTCCATAGATGGCGCTGTCGTCGGAGCACCACCTCACCAGGGGTCAGGAGCGGCGGTGTTGAGTGCTGAACCAGACTGGAAACTGGTCCTCGAGGCCAGTACACGCTGTCTTCACTAGGTGTCGTCGTTCGTTTGGCGGGGGTTTCGGGAGCTGACCCACAGATGGCGTGTTTGTCACTGCTCCAGGCACGGACGCTGGATCCGGGTTCGTAACAACATGTATATATACATTGGCTGCCTGTCCCTCAATACACTGAATTATTATTATTAAATTATTTTGGACATTTTATCCACATTAACTATACTGTACTGTAGTTAATATAATTTTTGTAGGATAAGCTGTTTGCTTGACAAAAATCTCTCCTTTATTGGAATGGGCTTTTCACTAAAAATTACCTAATAATAGTTTTTAATATTCATCCTGACACCTAGCTTTCAGAACAGGAGTTTGGGTCACGTGCCTGCTGCCGTCTGGCAGCAAGATAAAAAAAAATTCTTCACCCGATCTAAATTTGCCAGGAATAACTTTTCCTGTTCAAAACTCGGATCCTATTAAGAGTCCTATAATGATTAATGGTAGTTACGAGGAAAGAATTTTGTTTTCATATTAGGAATCAACAATTAAAAAGTAAAATTTTTTTTGCATATCGTCACTAAAAAACACAAAGCGTTTTGTAGGGTAAGCTAATTTCTTATATTTAGATTTTTTAGTTGGGCACTGCCCATTTTCTTGCGATCTTACTAACAATAAAATCTTGAAAGACATGATTTTATCCATTTCAAGTTTTTTTTAACCAGTTTTTAGAACTAAAGGGTTATGTTATGGGTGGGTTATACTGTCACTGTTGAACTTTCACCACCCCCTCTATCTGTACACAAACAACACACTAGTTATCTTAAAAAAATGGGGATTTGGATATCAGTTGGTCCTGCTATCATCAACCATTTATTAACGTAAAAGACCAAAATTCTTCCAACTAATAACGAAACATTAATAAAGATTTTGTAATGGCAATTTATGGTTGCAGTGGTTGAAAGTGCAGTACAGTATATTCAGTCTGAATAGGCTAGAAGATGGGGCATAAGGAGCGAGATTGCGCTCCCTTGTAAGTGTTGATAAGTAAACACCAACTATATATGGTCTAACTCACTTCCTGATCATCATCAGAGGTCACGACCTCTCCGTAGGGTGCAGTCGCACCTCCACAGATCTCCAGTATCAGCTAATGATACTGGTAATGGCTCCAAAGGGCCACCACTTACGGGCTATTCATGCCCGTGCCACCTTTTGGGTGATTTAATCTTCAATCAATCTATCTATCCTGATCATCCCATTAACACCCATCTTTCAAAGTCCTCACCCCTCCAAACACTCCCAACCCATTCAATCCATCCCACCTCACCGACCTTCCATGAACCCTCTCCCCCCCCTGCCCCGTTCCACCCTCAACCCATCCGCTAACCCATCCTCCCCTACCTCACCCACATCCTGTCCGCCAATGTCCCATTCCACCACAGTGTCCACAGATTCTTTTTCCTCTGTGTCTTAATATGTACATGTAAAATGGGATCTAGGCAGGTAGGCCCTTTTGTATTTTGTATTATTTTTATTTTGGTTAGGTAGGGAGTACTAGATATTTGTGGGTACGGTGTACAGTACAGTACAGTACAGTATTACTGTATAGATATATATTCGTGGGTAGGATGTATTATGGATATTTGTGGGTAGTGTGTATTATAGATATTTGTGGGTAGGGTGAATTCCAGATATTTGTGGGTAGGGCATATTATAGATATTTGTGGGTAGGGCATATTATAGATATATGTGGGTAGGGTGTATTATAGATATTTTTTTCTAATTTAATTTTTATTTGAGATGTGCTTGGCATTGGGACCGGGAATACCTGCCTTTGGGGTAAGTGTGGTAGGTGGCAATTATGAAAATAGGTAATTTACCTATGGGCCACATTATCTCTAGTGGCCTTGATGAGGACGGGTCGCAGGCAGCTTGTTAAAGGTTCCTCCATTTGTCCTGATTATTTTATCAGGCTGGATTTTGAATTGCAGCAATATTTTGGCATTTACAGCTTCAGCGGGTAGGCAGTTCCATGGGTTTATAATCCTATGGGTGTAAAAGAATATCCCAGTTTCTGTCCTAGATTGTGGCTTGTTGATCTTGAAACGGCTGCTCTTTGTTTTACCTGAGTTTACCTGAGAGCCACTAACACTAGTGGCCTTGACGAGGACAGGAAGCTGGTGGCTTGTCAAAGGTCCCCCCCATTTGCCTTGATGATCCTTTCCAGCTGTACAGTACTGTACTTTAAAAGTTAAGAGAGTTTTGGCATTTACGGCTTTGGCAAGTAGGCAGTTCCATGGGTTATTAACCTTGTGGGTGAAAAAGCATTGCCTGTTCTCAGTCCTACATTGTGGCTTGTTGAGCTTGAAACTGTTATTCCTTGTCTGTGTTACATCTGACATTTTGAAGAAATTTTCCGGATCGACATTCTCCAATTTGTTCGGTATTTTAAAAGTTTCAATGAGATCCGTCCTGTCATGCCTAAACCATGTTTGTATTGCATCTAACCATTTCAAAGAAATGATCTGGATCAATATCCTCCAAATTGTTCGGTATTTTAAGAGTTTCAATGTGATCAGCCCTGTCTTGTCTGGTTTGCGGTGTTGTTAGCCCTAATCCTGGTACGAGAGTCGACTTAGTTCTGGATTGATTATTGTTGCTAGGTGTTGAACTTTCTCCAAAGCAGATTTGTCCTGAAGATGAGGTCTCTATGCTTGGATACAATAATTCAAACTGGGGCACACCAGAGATTTATAATAATACTAATATTAATAGTTTACTTAGGTAAAAGTACATACAAACAGAATGAGATAGTTGAATAACTACCTTCTTTTCCTTCAAGTCGAAGTTTCATTTGAGTATTCTTAGGGTTTTCTTGCCTTTGTTTTACTCTTGTAGGCTTTATTGCATGTACCTCTGGTATTTTAAAAGGTTTGATAATCATAGAGAGTTTGTGTATTTCATATATTAATTGTGTTGAAATGCAATCAATAAAATAGGCGTTTGCTAAAGTTTTGTCTCCAGACCCGTAGTTGTAAGCCTTAACCCAGGTACCCAGATATCACAGATCGTCTTATCGCCATGGGCTTCCCTGCTCAGAAGTTGGAGGGTGTCTACAGAAACCATATTGATGACGTATGCCGCTTCCTAGAAGACAGACACAAGGACCATTATAGAATATATAATTTGTAAGTAGACAGTTTATAAACTTGATATACAATACACTTGTCAGTAAGCATCTCGTCTAGTAGTGTCTCGGCACGTGTATGTTTTAGTTTATTGAGGACACAACCTGTGGACAAATAGCAGAAAGGTTAGTTACTTGTAGCATGAAGAGGTGATTACTGTACTAAATTAGATGGAAATCTATTCAGTGAATAGAAAAGAATGCAGGTAAAAGGGTGGAAAAGCAAGATAGGAATTGGTAGAGTCCCAGAAGAATTGGTGCTAGAACACTTGCTGTTCCTAGTACTGTACTATATACAGTACATAAATGATGCAGTTGCAGTTAAGCAATACTTTTGTATTTCAAGGAATATTACACATTTGTTGGTGGGTAGGATGCATGATTTTGGTCCAACAGAATAAATATTGTATTACCATGTACAGAATCATATATTTTATCCTACAAAACCACTTGAACATTGCTTTCAATAAATATACAATGAAATATACAGTTCTACGTATTTCTTTTCCCACTGAATATCCTTGTAAAATCAGTGTGTCATATACCTGGTAGATACAGTAACATTTTAAACTTATATTGAGAAGTTGAGTACTGTATACAGTACATGTTTTGGTCTGCAGTGTTGTTTATTTTTCAGGTGCTCTGAGAGAAATCGATCGTACGACGTAGCAAGATTCCATAACCGCGTTAGAACGTTCCCATTTGCTGACCACAATCCTCCTCCTCTGATTGATATCGAGCCACTATGCAAAGATATGGCAGATTGGCTCAATGAAGATCAGAAAAATGTGGCAGTTGTGCACTGTAAGGCTGGAAAGGTACGTTATATGGGATTAAGGCACGTCTGGGATCCTCTCGGATGTAGGTTCGAACCCTGGTCACGGCCCTTGTGGATTTGTTTACGTTACATGGGTTGAAGAGAACACATCACAATACCGTGGCTGAAAATAAACGACCCAACCCACGGGCATGAGATGAAAGTGATGCTGTGTTGGTCTGTCCTGGACCCATATCAATTTATGGAATCTCGTGTCATAAATAACCATTTATGCGGACCATAACCAATGCTTTATGCGGACCCATTTACCTTGCGGACCAAAACTGCGTCACTTGCATTTCTTTTTGTTTGCTTGGGTCGAGTTCTTTACTATGGTTTCAGCGTGTACATTTTAAGGTTGATTACAATATCCTGCTTGGCATGTAGTGTGTGGAGGTTTGTAGGTAGGTTAAGATGCAAATGTGTTGAAAGAAGTTCTGAAAGGCTTTACTTAATGAAGCAGAGAGAATTGTTGATAACGTACTCTTTTAAAGGACAAGAACCTTGAAGAGAAACGTTGAGAGAGGCATTACCTTGGCACAATATGCAAATACTGTACTGTACGTGCTAAGGCCAAGGTGGTCTTGATAATACATTCACGAGCCATCTTGTTCTGTAACAAGTATTTGCATAGACGATAAAAATAGGCAATCGAAAATATTATTTAATTGTCAAGGGATTTTCAGCTATACAAAAGATTGTAAAAGGCCAATTGAGAATTGAGAAGATGAAATAAGTTGTACTTGTTTAATAATGTCTAGAACATACGGAAGGTATCAACACCCATAGTCCCTGATGGCTTGAGAGGATTGACTGGGCACCAATCCATAACCATTTGCCTCTTGTTTACCAGAGAGTAATTAGATACCTGGTTGTTAACTAATTGGCATGTCATGTTCACAGGAAAAACTAACATGGAAAGGCTTACAATGAGCTATGGGAAGGTAGAAAGAAAGTAGAAAGTGTTTGGTAGGTGGGAGGTAGAACCTGCCAAACACACAACGAAACTACAACGTTGCCACAAGGTTCAAACAAGTTTTAACACCTAACAAGTTGTAACAAATTTCTAGTACATCATTAAAAAGTTATAACAAGATGTAGCAACTTTATTACAAGTTGTTACAAGTGGAAAATAGGGGACAGGTGTGTGATGTAGTGTGGCTTATGGTGTGTGTGTGTGTTTGTTTGCAGGGAAGGTTCACATGAGTGTTAGTGCATATTTGTATGCGGTGTGTTTGTGTAAACACACCTCTGTATATATATACATGCATGTGCAGATGGGTGTATTAGATTAATTGTTGAGAAATGTCTATTGATGGTGTTGAGTGCCAAGATTTGTCACTAAAATTTAACCTTTCTATTGCAATTCACACTTGTTCACTAGCCATTATACTACATTATATTTTCTGTGGGGAGCCCCGTTGGCTCCCTGAAGCTATCCGAACTGATATGTGCTATATTAGTTTGGGGTCATCAGTCACAGGAGTTCTTATACCTACTGGGAACCATGAGCCAGAACCGGGTCCCCTCAGAGAGGCGCAGGGAGCAGTGGCCTATGAATACTTTACATTCAAAGTACAGTACAGTACTGTATGTTATAATTGCTATCGACCAGGAAGGACCCCAGAAAGGTAGGTGAATCAAAACACACCACCGTCTGGTTAACCTGTGCAATCTACATCGCAAAAGATCGAAATAACTCTCCTAGAAAGAAACCAGACAAGCAAACCTTCATGCGACTAGCACTTCCAATCATTAGTACTACCCCCTCGCCCCTGTAGAGGGGAAGGGGGAGCCAGCAGCCCATCACTCCAGTTCTTGAACTGATGTGCTGGTGGACAGTTCAGTCACCTCTGGCCTCAAGTTCGTGTTCTGGATTTTTGCCCTGTGTTCCAGCTGTGTGTTGGTGTGGTGGCTGCCAGATGTCTTAGTGTACAGAAGCAGCATGCGCCTATCTTGAGGTTATCTTGAGATGATTTTGGGGCTTAGTGTCCCCTGTGGCCCGGTCCTTGATCAGGCCTCCACCCTCAGGAAGCTGCCCATAGCAGCTGTCTAACTCCCAGATACCTATTTACTGCTAGGTAACAGGGGCATCAGGGTGAAAGAAACATTTTGCCCATTTGTCTCCGCCTCCACCGGGGATCAAACCCGGAACCTCAGGACTATGAATCCGAAAATGAATCCGAAACGCTTTCCACCCAGCTGTCAGGCGCCTAGGGTGACCTTCCCTAGGCTCCGTGAGTACTGCCCTTGTGTGTCAGGGTTATCTTCCCCGGGGCATTCGGGAATCACTACCCATTTGAGGACTTCATCGTTTGTTGTTGTCTTTGCCATTGGGGTACGTCAGGGGGTCTAGGGCTTTCCGTTTTGCCCTGGGTAAGGGAGCACTAATGAGCAGACGTGCTAGTTGCATGAAGGTTTGCTTGTTTGCTTTCTAGGGGAGTTATTTTGATCTTTTGGGATTTAGCTTGCACAGGTTAACCAGACAGTGATCTCTTGCCTACCTTTCTGGGTCCTTGACGATCGATGGCAATTATGACATACAGTACAGTACAGTATTGTACTTTAAATGTAAAGTGTTCATAGGCCATTGCTCCCTGCACCGCTCCCTCTTAGGTGACCAGGTTCTGGCTTGTGGTCCCTGGTAGGCATAAGAACCCCTGGGACTGATGATCGCAAAATAATATAGCACATATTCGTCCAGATAGCTTCAGTGAGCCTCCGGGGCTCATCCAGATAGCTTCGGGGAGCCTCCAGGGCTCACCCAGAAAATGGCATTTCATTACATTAAATGCTTTTTTTCTTTTTTTTTTTTTGTTACATTTGAACTAATTTTGATGTTAATTTTGTGTTTATGCTGATGACTCGGCATGTTAAGTTTTTATTCCCTAAATTTCCTTAGGGCCGAACAGGCGTCATGATATGCTGCTACCTACTTCACTGCCGATTCAAGATTTTAGCACAAGATGCATTGGACTTTTATGGAGATAAGAGAACTTTTGATAGAAAAGTAAGTGTTTGTTGTTTAGAAACCCCAGAATCCTGTAAAAAATGTTTGCACGGCTTCTTGTTATACAATGTGAATCTGTCATTACAGTACTGTATAATCGTACTGAACTTTACATACTTCTTAAAAGTACAATTATATTTTCTTGCAGGGAGTAACTATACCCAGCCAAAGAAGATATGTGGAGTACTATGCCAAACTAGTCACCTCAAACTTTAATTATAATCCACCTTATGTACGTCTCAGGGAAGCCAGAATGACTGCCCCACTATCCAGTGTAAATTCAGGTCAGTTGTTTTAAGTGGACGGTACAGTCATTTATATATTATATACACCTGGGGCCAGATTCACGAAGCAGTTACGCAAGTACTTACGAACGTGTACATCTTTCCTCAATATTTGACGGCTTTGGTTACATTTATTAAGCAATTTACAAGCATGAAAACATCCCAATCAACAGTTGTTATTGTTATAAACAGACTCCTGGTGCTTCAGAGCTCATTAACTATTTAATAATTGTAAACAAAGCTGCCAAAGATTGAGAAAAGATGTACAGGTTCGTAAGTACTTGCGTAACTGCTTTGTGAATCTGGCCCCTGGAGTATATGTGCAGTGAGTTGAGGGGGTTATTCTACTCCCCATTTATCCATTTTTACCCGGTTGGTACCATATTTCTCGTAGGAACGTGTCTCATTTTATCTTTAACATCTCTTTTTGCACTGCAGTATTTTTTATGTTTGCTGGGAGGGTATTAAATATCCTTGGGCCTCTGATGTTTATACAGTATTCTCTGATTCTGTCTATGGTACCTCTACTATTCACTGGGTATATTGTTTCACCAATAAAATATAAAAAATTTCACCAATTTATATCATCTCTTTCCAATAATATTAAACAAATTTAACCCTTGCACTGTACACCTGTTTTTAGTAAAAATTTCATGGTGCTGTTGTGAAGGACATATTTTTGTTTTTATAAATGTTCAGCTAATGTCAAAATGTTTCCAAACTCGACCATTTTCATTTCTAATCACAAAGAGTAATAGAAACATTAAAAAACATTAAAATATGGCCTAATTAAAAAAAAAATTCACAACACCTCAGAGAGTCTTTAGGCGCTCTGCTCAGTTGAGTCGTTAAAGGATGCAGTTATTGCCGAGGCAAGCATTAAACCTTACGAGGACCTTGAGTACGACATATATTTCACCAGGTTCAAATGTCTTACGGAATGTCTTACGGGGATCCAATAAAAGATCCTTTTTTTTTATTTGTTGGGATGTTTGTGTATAAAAATATATCTGTTGAAGCCCTGGAAGACATTCTGACCTTGGGACTATTGTACAGCCTCTCGGAGAAGTATTTAGAAATAAACCGTGGTCGACACTTTATCCATGTGGAACAAATTCATGGTGGACCAGTTCATCTTTTTAAAGTAGCACACCTGTCACCATTTGGGCACTTTGCTTGCATTCATTCAAACATTTAGCATTTTTTATCTGTTATAATATACAGTGGTACCTTGGTGTATGACTGCTTTAGAGTTTGATTTTTGTTGGTACTAGTATACGACGTCAAATTCATCATAAAATTTAAATTGGTGTGCGACGTTTTACTTGTAATATGGCACCTGTTGATACGTGTATGGGTCGAACAAGCGCATGGTGTGCGACGTTTTACTTGGAATATGGCACTTGTTGATACGCGTATGGGTTGAACAAGCGCATGGTGTGCGACGTTTTACTTGGAATATGGCACCTGTTGATACGCGTATGGGTTCAACGAGCGCATGGTGTGCGACGTTTTACTTGGAATATGGCACTTGTTGATACGTGTATGGGTCGAACAAGCGCATGGTGTGCGACGTTTTACTTGGAATATGGCACCTGTTGATACGTGTATGGGTCGAACAAGCGCATGGTGTTGGGGGCGTGGGTCGAAGCACACTCAGTTATTTACCAGTGTGTCCCGTAGAGTGGTGACCGCGACCGCACTTGAATTCTTTGTAAAGAATGTCATTGTTTTTCTACTTTTTTGGTTTCTGAACCTAAAAGTTCTTATTATATATCATGCCGTGGGTACCAAGAAAGTCAGTGGTGAATTTCAACCAAAGAAAATAGTTGTAAGGATGACAATAGAAGAAAAATAAGAGATCATTCAAAGTGAATGAATATGATGTCTCACTACAGACAAGTGTTAAAACATAGAGAAAAACAAGTATCTTTAGAGAGATTCTTAGTAAGACAAGCAAGCAGTCAGCCACAACCAGATCCTAGTGGTATGCCTGCAAATCGTAGGGGAGAGAGTACCCCAGACAAGTCATCACTGCCTGATGTTATAAATGGAAAGGAGACTCTCCCTCCCAAACCCAAACATCTCTCCTTCTCCCAGACAAGTCATCACTGCCTGATGTTATAAATGGAAAGGAGACTCTCCCTCCAAACACAAACATCTCTCCTTCTCCCAGACAAGTCATCACTGCCTGATGTTATAAATGGAAAGGAGACTCTCCCTCCAAACACAAACATTTCTCCTTCTCCCAGACAAGTCATCACTGCCTGATGTTATAAATGGAAAGGAGACTCTCCCTCCAAACACAAACATCTCTCCTTCTCCCAGACAAGTCATCACTGCCTGATGTTATAAATGGAAAGGAGACTCTCCCTCCAAACACAAACATCTCTCCTTCTCCCAGACAAGTCATCACTGCCTGATGTTATAAATGGAAAGGAGACTCTCCCTCCCAAACCCAAACATCTCTCCTTCTCCTCCCCACTTCCTCACTCTCTTCCACATGCTAGTAAGAGTCCTCAATAAAGGTAAGATATACATACCGTACTGTGGTACAAAAGAGGAGTGGTATTTGGTATAAAGTGTATTTTTAAGTTATATTTTTGGGTGTGGGGAACGGATTAATCCCATTTACATTATTTCTTATGGAAAAATTCGTTTTGATTTATGATTTTTTTTGGTACCACCAAAACGAAGGTATCACTTAATTTGATCATAGCTTTTTATATAATACCAATGTATAATGTAACATAATGAAAGGTTTACATATATTACATTTTATGTATTGTAGCAAGTTTTGATTGTTACTTTTTGTAATTTTCAGAGGTGTATCTGGTAATAAGCTCCCATAGTAACAAAAAAGGATATAGCTCACAGCAGTGTGATGTGCGGAAAGGCAAGGAATCGATATATCTGCCCGTAAAGGATGAGGTAGCCAGACCTATTTCGGGCGATATCAAAATTGAGCTAAAACGAACTAACTTTGTTAGACGAACGGTTGGTAATTTTGTAATTGTCCGTCATTTATTATTAAGTGTGCTGTTTTTAAGTGAAATGATTACTCCACTTTTTATATAAGGTAAACTTAACATTTATATTTTATCTGCCTTTTTTTTTCTTTCCTATGTACTATATTCCCTTCTTGGTGCTTGTTGCATATTTCTCTTCTAATATACCTAATTAAGTAGGTAAGTTTGTCACCAGTATAGTAAAAAAAAATGTAGTCTCTTGAATTTTGGAGAAACTTTTAGATAATTTTTAATTTGTTGTTCTGTTCAGGACAGTTTGTTTTCACCTTGTAGTAGTCTTTCTACAAGACCTCATAAGACTCCTTAATTTATTATTAAATATTTCTTGAAAAAGCTATATGGATGTTGCTAAAAAGTGTAACTACTAAGGAGGCCTGGTCGAGGACCGGGTCGCGGGGATGCTAAGCCCCGAAACCATCTCGAGTAACCATGTAGCACTAATATGTCTGGATGTAAAATAACAATACTTCAGGAAAGTGGGAAACTTTTACCATTTCCATGGTTATTCTTCCATTGGTGGCCAATGTCACCGAGTCTGCTATCTCATGAAAGCCTGATTGCCTTGGTTGATACCTGGTTGATGGGGTTCTGGGAGTTCTTCTACTGCCCAAGTCCGGCCCGAGGCCAGGCTTGACTTGCGAGAGTTTGGTCCACCAAGCTGTTGCTTGGAGCGGCCCGCAGGCCCACATATACCTGGTTGATGGGGTTCTGGGAGTTCTTCTACTGCCCAAGTCCGGCCCGAGGCCAGGCTTGACTTGCGAGAGTTTGGTCCACCAAGCTGTTGCTTGGAGCGGCCCGCAGGCCCACATACCCACCACAGCCCGGTTTTGGTGGGTCTAGGCCTTAGTTGATATTCAAAATTAAAATGTACAATTCTTCAAACTAAAAGTGGTTGATGGTCTGTACATACTTGATACAAACTGATGAAGACAATTGGTATATATTAGACGATTAACCCTTCAGCCGTAACAAATGGCAGTTAATGTCACACAGTAGATAGGGGTTATGATGCAGATAACGTAAATTGAGGGTCCCGGTAATACAGTCGGGTTCGTTCTCGACGCACAATCGCAAATTCCGGGTTCAAATCCTGGGTGGGACAGAAATAGTTTGGCACAGTTCCTTTCATCTAATGCCGCTGTTCACCTAGCAGTAAGTAGGTACTCAGGAGTTAGTCAGCTTGTTGTGGGGGGGGGGGTGCATCCTGGGCGGGGTCAGTAATTTGACTCTGGGAGGACGGGGGAACTTGATATAAGTCTAACCGAGCCTAAGGTTAGGCTCGGTTAGGTAAGGTTAGCCTTGATATAAGCCTAAGGGAGCCGGTCGGCCAAGCTGACAGCACACTGGACTTGTGATCCTGTGGTCCCGGGTTCGATCCCGGGCACCGGCGAGAAACAATGGGCAGAGTTTCTTTCACCCTATGCCCCTGTTACCTAGCAGTAAAATAGGTACCTGGGTGTTAGTCAGCTGTCACGGGCTGCTTCCTGGGGGTGGAGGCCTGGTCGATGACCGAGCCGCAGGGACACTAAGCCCTGAAATCATCTCAAGATAACCTCAAGATAACTAACATGTACGTATACACTCTGGCTTCCCTTCCCCCAACACAATGAATTATTATTATTATAAATCTGTTTGCAAATCTAGGTTAAGTAAACACTAATCAGCTGATGCATGGTTGTTGCTGCTGGTCAATTGAGGTGTCTGGCAGCCTGTTGCCCTTCAGGAAATTGTTTCCTGCTCCTCCTCCTCAGTACTCATAAAGCCATGATTGGGAGTACATGTCCATTGAGCTTGGGTCATAAGACATGTGATTCCTGCTGTGTTCACAGCAACAATGACATTTCAAGTTTATTGAATGATATCAACGTGCATTCAGATTTTAGAGTTGACAGTAGGTTCTCCCAACCTTGAAGGTGTAGAAATAGGGGATGATGCAGACAAAGGAGTCTGATTACAGCATATTTAGTGGAGATAAAAGTCAGGGTGGGCACTTGCAGCTCAACGTCTAAGTGATTAGACGTTGAGATATAAGTCTAGTCCCAATCGCACACTGAGACCTTGACGAAGCACTCAGGAGAGTGTGAAAGACTTGGTCTGAATTCCTTACATAAATTTCACAAATACACAAGTGTGTTTTTTTTCTTAAATAAGGATTAATGTAAAAATTTTCTTGGCTGGGGGTTATTTAGTATTTTTCCTCATAGTGGTAGTGTTTTATGGGCTGTCGAATCTACTAGTCTACTTCCTCCCTTGAAATGTTGAGTCTACTTTTCTACTGTTTCCCTTGAACTCTCGTCTACTTGTCTACTTCCTCCCTTGACCTCTCTTTGTGGGCTGTGTGTGGGAAAACCTTTGACCAACCTAGATGGTTAGTGGGCTAAAATATTTAGATTGAAGAGACCAGGCCACATTAATGTGGCCGATAACAATTTGACAAAAGATTCCGGATGGACCGAAATGCTTTCAGTTTCCCGTCTCACTCTGTATGTGTGGGTTGGGTTATTAACACATTGATTTTTTACTGGATGACTAAATTTATTTGCTTTAAGTGTTAAAGTGTTTTTAATGTTGCTAAATGTTTCAGGACAAATTATTTAGTGCCTGGCTAAATACGCACTTTATATTTGAGGAAGGCAAAAAATTAACAAATGGATGTGAAATTACTGCATCTGACCAAAATAATCACAATACCTGCAACACTCAAAATATTAGACAAAGGTAAGTGCTTAATTGTACCAAGTAATCTCTCTCTATCTCGACCACCTATTAATATGGCTCGTCATCATCTTGCTACGATGCAGAGTAATTGCTAAATTTGATCGGTATCTATTTAGTCAACAGAAGTGATTAACTTGTCTTTCTTGTCATCAAATATGTTCAAAGCATGTAATAGGTATTATTGGGCAGTGATATTTGCTACATATGCAAAGAAGTGAGTTTGCCTTTAATAATACAGCATATGTCAATTTTTACACTTTTACATGACCATTAGAATTATTAATGAAATTTTTTATTTCACTTTTAATCTTAACTGTTTAATAAATTAAAATATTAGAGTAGCTCAACATGTGCAGAAGACCTTGAATGATATGGTTATATATAATATACAGGTTGTAAAATTACTGTATGTACTTAAATTACATATAGATACATACTATATAACAATATTTATATAAATTGTTTCATAGGATTATTTCTTGTACTTTTGTGTAAAATATGAACACAATTAGTGTTGAATGTTAAATACAAGAAGGTTAGCAAGTCTCTATTGGTCTGTGCAGAAGTAATAGTTTCCGTGTGGCCGAACATAACTGCTTTAGGCACAAGAGACGGGAGTCAGCTGAAGCGAGGGTGCTTCCCGCTGGCCTCGGTGGGGACAGGCAAGACTCTCGCAAGTCTGAGAGGCACATGCGTGAGCGGGCAGAGAGCAAGAGCCTTCCCACTGGGCATCTCACCAACTTAACAGAGGATGACTGGCTTCCCCCTGGGGCTGATCTCAGTCCCTTTTCACGTCCCCGCCATCATAACCGCCACCGACGCCGACACCATACCCAGCATCTCCCGTAAGGATGCTGACTTCCTAGTGTGGTGTTTTTTTTAACTGAATCCCTAATGTTTGAAGAGCACGCACACACTTGGTTGCTCTCACAGTTTTCATAAAATAATTTTATCCTTATTCCCTTTATATTTCTAAGAAAAGTATGCTTGACAACTCCCCTTTGATTTATCACTGCAAGTTTCGAGTAATGATGGTTGAAATTTGCTCTTAAAATTCAGATTTAAAATACTCTAGGAATCCCTTCTTTATACCTCAGTACTGAAGTAGCGGCAAGTTCACAAGCTGGAAATGGAGACATTAATACACATCAGGACTTTTAGATACGGAAATATGTTTAAACGTTATTTGGCAGTAGTTTTAATTTGTGTGAAATACTAATATGGTAGAATTTGTAGGCAAATAGAGAAAGCAGTGGTACGGAACTTCATTGCCAATAAGTAGAAATGGTAGTATGATTATGTAAACTCTCATGCACTATGTTATCATTCATTATCTGTAGACAAGCAGGTCCTGTTTAGTGTATTAATTCTAAATATAATGTGATAGTAAGTACAGTAGCTTGTAAATTATATAGATCATAATTGCCACAATATGAAATATTGATATTGTTCTGTAGTGTCAAGAAAAGTGTAACATGACACATGGGCTCTCCATATCACGCACTTTGCACGCACCTACATACACAGAATTCAGACGAAGAGTCACAATAACGTGGCTAAAGTATGTTGACCCAGACCACACACTAGAAGGTGAAGGGACGGCGACGTTTCGGTCCGTCCTAGACCATTCTCAAGTCGATTGTGAATCTACTTGATTCTCAAGTTTGGTACAACTTGAGAATCGAGAATGGTCGATTGTGAATCTACTTGATTCTCAAGTTTGGTACAACTTGAGAATCGAGAATGGTCGATTGTGAATCGACCATTCTCAAGTCAATTGTGAATCGACTTGAGAATGGTCCAGGACGGACCGAAACGTCGTCATCCCTTCACCTTCTAGTGTGTGGTCTGGTCAACATACACAGAATTATTCAGAATTATATGAGCATGTTTGCTGATGATACTGCAATGCTAGAGAAGAAAAGAAACTTGGACAATTGTCATGCCCGTCAAGGAGGACTGGACAAAATGCGTATACTGTTCAGTATGGAGGAACGCTCGACAAATGGAATTGAATTTGAATAAATGCAACGTTATGGAATGTGGAATAGAAGAAAATAGGTCACACAGATAACATACAAATTATGCGAAAAAGCTTTAAAGAATTCTGATAAAGAACGAGATCTAGGGGGGTGTTTCTAGATAGAAACATGTCACCTGAGGACCACGTACAGAACGTCGTACCTGGAGCACGAAACACACTTTCCAATTTCAGAATGGCTTTTAAATACATGGATGGTGAAATACTAAAGAAATTGTTTATAACTTTAGTGATACCAAAGTTGGAATATGCAGTGGTTGCATGATTCCTATATCTTAAGAAATACATCAACAAACTGGAAAAGGTGTAAAGTCATGCAACTAAATGGCTTCTAGAACTGAAAGACAAGAGCTATGAGGGGAAATTAGAGGCATTACATATGTGAAAGGTAGAAGAAAGAGGCATTGTGATCACTATGTACAAAATAATTATGGAAATCAACAAAATTGATACAGAAGAATTCTTGAGACCTGGGGCCAGATTCACGAAGCAGTTACGCAAGTGCTTATGAACCTGAACACCTTTTCTCAATCTTTGGCAGCGTTGTTTACAATTATTAAACAGTTCATGTGATTCGAAGCAACAGGAGGCTGTTTATAACAATAACAACAGTTGATTGGGAAGTTTTCATGTTTGTAAACTGTTTAATAAATGTAACCAAAGCCGTCAAAGATTGAGAAAAGATGTATACGTTCTTAAGTATTTGCATAACTGCTTCGTGAATCTGGCCCCAGGTAGTCAAACAGGTAAACGGGTAACTGTAAGCCTTGTTACCAAGCATAAGAAATTTGAATAAGAAATCATTGAAGCCCTTGTATACTACATACGTCCTGCCAATCACACGACGAAACTACGACGTTGCTACAACGTTCGAACCAGTTTTAACACCTAACAAGTTGTAACAACCAATATAACAAGTTGTAACAATGTTCTAATACGTCATAAACACGTTATAAGAAGATGTAACAACTTTATTACAAGTTGTAAGAAGCGGAAAATAGGGAGAGTTACGTTGTGTGTTTGCAGGGATCAGACCAATTTTCAAACTGCAACATTAGTATGGAGTCCTTCCTGTGTTATATAAAAAGTGCAGCTGAATTAAAGTCCGAAGGTTTGCATCCAGAATTAGTCCCAGCATTTAGAGGTCTGTGTAATGAAAAGACTAAGGTGACAATCCTGTTGTCAAGGACAGGAAGGCTGTACTTAGGTTTCAAGGTACCCTTAAGCACACTCCTGACCATTCCCAGAGTGCAACCCAAAACAATTGCCTAGTTCAGCATCAAATCACTGGAAGATGGTAAGGGAGCCGGTCGGCCGAGCGGACATCACGCTGGACTTGTGATCCTGTGGTCCTGGGTTCGATCCCAGGCGCCGGCGAGAAACAATGGGCAGAGTTTCTTTCACCCTATGCCCCTGTTACCTAGCAGTAAAATAGGTACCTGGGTGTTAGTCAGCTGTCACGGGCTGCTTCCTGGGGGTGGAGGCCTGGTCGAGGACCGGGCCGCAGGGACACTAAAGCCCCGAAATCATCTCAAGATAACCTCAAGGGGAGACATGATTACATCTTAAAAGATCCTCAGTTGATAGGACAGACAAGGATAGACTTTTTGGAATGGAGGTACACAAAGAAGGTACCCAAATGAAGAGCAGAGACTTGAAAAATATTGCTACCAGTATTGTCAAAGTAGTGACACAAATGGAATGCACTGAAAAGCATAGTGGTGAGGACAGACTCCATACTCAGCTTGAGGTGTAGCGGTGACAGAGCCCAGTAGGCTCATGAACCTGTACATTAGCTGGTTGAAGGTTAAAAGCTGGGATAAAGGAGCTGAAGTGCAACTACCTCAAGCACAATCAGAAAAGTACAATTTTCAATTTGGTGAATTACATACACCCCTTATAAACCTTCCAGTAAATATATATCCTTATGCCCACACCTACCTTCACTTATATATTTAGAAACATGCATAAGTGTATGCACTTGTACACTTCTTGCACATATACACATAGATTTAAGCATTAATAAAAGGGGGCTCCTGACAGGGTTGAGAACAAGAGGTCTAATGTCGATCATGGCTATTTCAGTGAACATGTTATGGCAGTTTTGTAAATATATAATAAGATAATTAATATGTTGTATATAAATTGATTTATTGAGACATTTACATTTATATGACAGCGGAATTTGTGGTAGCTTTGCAGTTTGTGTTGTGATCGAGGATGTTCAATTATTACATCAGTAATAATTTAGCTATTTTTTAATTTCTACGAAGCTGGAGCACTCATTTTCGTCCTGAAGCAAAGTCCTGTTTTAACCCTGGGCTAAACCCAACACAACTAGGCAACTGTCTGCTTATTTCCTGTTGTCATGGGGGTCTTTGTAAATGCTCCCAGTAAGTGACGTTGGAGAAAGGAAGACAGAAAATTACTCAGTCTACCCCAAGGTGAATGCCAGAGGGAACTTCAGATTTCAAACCCCCTCTGAGTAATACTTGCCCTACAAATAGCTAGCTGGCTTGCCTTGTTTCTGGAGAGTTTGCCTTACATTTAGCCTAGATACCACTCATCAACTGAAGGACACTCAATTGAGTTATAGATACATAAAGAAACTCTCATGCCCCGTATGAGTGGTCGGCAAGTGGAATACATTGGAGGAAGCGATTATCGAATCCAATTCTATTCACTACCTTCAGAAATTTATTTTAGAAAATTTTACTATCGAGCGGTATAATGCACTTGGTATAAACGGCTAGGAGCCGGGGCATAGAGATCTCACTCCTTCATAGTCATAGATAAGAACCCTTGACACAGTGCCTTGTCAAATCCTTCCCGGCACCGGCGAGAAACAAAAAGTGGGATAGTTTCTTTGTCAACCCCTGCAAGCACAACTAGGTGAATACATGCTTGCATCTGATGAGACCTCTTTCAGGTATGCAAACTTTGACTGGATTATTTGTTTAAGTTTTAAGCCAGCTGACCAGTAAAAAAAGGTTTTCATGAATGCTTCCATGGTAGAACAGAGGGGGTATGATCACCACAAATAAAGTACTGAAAAGAATAGATAAAGTGATCAAAGACAGTGTTACGATGCTTTTTATGCATCAATGGAGTGATCAAAATCTGTTAAGTGGGACTATATAAGAGGATGGATTGAATAGAAAGCATTACGGGCTATTCATGCCCGTGCCACCTCTTGGGTGGCTTAATCTTTATCAATCAATAGAAAGCTCCTTTCTGAGCTGATCACTCGGTTGCTTCAGTTCCCTCTTTAAGTTTGTCCCAATGTTTACACGGCTGTTTGGGTTTCATCTGGCTATATATGTGACGTGAGCTTGCGAGCTGCTTCCTCCAACCCTGTTCACGTGTGTGGTATGGCCACCTAGAAGCCCACTTAGTATGGCCCATACCCACTGGTAGTGGGCATGCGAGGTTCACCTAACACTTAGCACAGCCACCTAGCACTTAGCAAGTGTGGCAGTCCTTGAGAGGTTAGTTAAAAGGGTGTTTGAGTTAATTTGAACGTTCATTGTGGCAATCATTCTGCACTGGATTAAGTTATCGTTAGTTTCTTCCTTTCCTCACTGGCAGGAGAGTTTTGACAAAGAAAACCCCACCCCTTGGCCAACTCCTAAATTGATGCCAGGATGGGAAGTAAATGCCAACATTTGCCTGGCTGTATCTGGTCATATCCATGGATAGAGCAGGAATTTACTTCAGGCAGCAACTTGGTAGCAGCTCAGAAAAGAGCTTTTCATTTTAATCAAAGCACTTACATTTCTTGATTCCCCATTCTCCCCTCAAAGA